ATCTCGGTTTAACGGATTTTTGGAAAATTTTCCCTAATTGCCCAAACTATCCGTTAAATCGAGATTCACTGTGTATACACAAATTTATAATGATTTTTCAAAATTCTCAAGATGGATTTTTCTAAATCAATCTTTCAATAATAATGAGAAACAACAGGATATTCTATTGAAAATAGTTTTATTTTTACCAAGCAAATTATCATTGCTAATTATTATGGCTTACACATTGATATGAAATTATAATCTGAATTTTCTTTATATCAGTCAAGGGGAATAATTTCAATATATTATTTAGATAAAAGGACAAATTAGTCTAATACCATCATCATTAGAGCTATCTTATACTATTGAAGATCAAGAGATTTGTGTGAGACGCGGATTTTGATCTCACAATACATGCATAATTATTTGAATTGTTATTAAAGGTAACAAAATAAAACAGAATTTATTATTACATCAACACAAACATCGCATCAGATATTATGACATTAAAATTTTTTATTCTGGAAAATTAAAATCAAATTATTGGATTCATTTTCTTTCCCTGTGAAGTATTTTTAAAATCTGTTGCTTTTTTTGATTAAAATTAAATTAATGATGGTTAATATTGTTTGCTGATAATCATTAAATCTTCAATAACATTGATTTCTGATTAGCAATTAGTGGAATAATGTTTTAGGAATTTGTGTTAAAGGTGAATTTGATTGATATTAAAGAGTGATTATTTATTCTTATTTTTTAATATTAATATTAAGAAAAAAACATTATAAAATTGTATTCAGCAATGATACAAAAACCATTAAAAATGAAGATATCACTAAAGGTGCCCCAAAAAATCCCCAAACATCCCACAAACTAACTGACATTCCTGTTAAACCAACTGTGCCAGTAATTGTAGCTAAAATTATATATTTCTTTAAATTTTTATCTTGTTGCCAATATTTATAATTGGGTTTTTGAGCATTTTTCATAAATGGTTGAATGTATTCCAAAAATATATAATTAATAAAAGTAAGAGAAAGACAAACACTTGAAAATTTTAAAAGATCTCTTTAGAAAAAAAATTTGTTATAATTATTAATGTTTTATTTTTATTTTAAAAAAATAACACATGGTAATTATAAATCTTAGTATTAACAATACTTGCCTCTTCCATTTTTTCAATGATAAAATTTTTTCCCAAAGATCATTAAAAAAATCATCATTATCTTGATCTGGAACATTAAACAATAAAAATATTAAACTTGCTAATACTGTCCAAATAAATAATCTTATTAAACGAGACGTAAGAGATTGTCTTTTTTGTCTTGATCTACTATTTCTATAATTATGATCATCAACCACAGTATCCCCAGCATTGCCAATATCACCAACACCCAAATTTCTATGTCTTAATGAACCACCTGTCATTTATAAAAAATAATTTTTACTTAGTATGTATGACGAGGGAATCTTTACTTATTATGGGGCGTACAGAACCGGCAAAAATAGGGTAAAATATTAAAGGTAAGCTTCTAAGAGTAAGGATTGATATAAAAAATTATGGTCACTCACTATTATTATTTATGTTTGGGTAAAAAATTAAACCACAATAAAAAAGCAAAAGAAAAGGTTATAATAGACTCAATTTTATCTAATGATAATATAAATTTAGCACAAACTATATATAAATTATTAACAAAAAATGCGAATTCACAGAGTATGATGATGATGGTTGTGAAGTAAAGCATAATAATGATAAAGATAAAGGTTGTAAAGATGAATATAATAATTATACGAAAGATATTTACAATGATTATTATAATTATTTGGATGATAACTATAATGATGAATCATGCTGTGATAAAAATTTTACATCAGTGAAAAATCTTCACCTGAAGGTAATACATTCTTAATTTCTAAGTTATTTTTAAAAATCAAAAATGATATTAAAATACTACCCACACCAGTGGCCAACAGATAATGGAATAGATGATTCTGTTAAGAGGTCGCTGAAGAAACAATGAGATTATGTAAATTAAATGATTTTTTTTTGACAATAACAAGATGAATCTGACGATGAATTGTAAATGAGTTAAATTATTTAATTAATTCAATGGAAATTCCATTTTGAACAATGAATCTTCAACTGATACATGCTTTGTACTTGAAAAAGAACTTGAAGAAGGTATTTTTACTAATGGCTTTTTTCAAAAATTTTGAATATAAGAAAATCTCATGAGGTTCAAAACATTTCAAATATAATGGGATTAGATGATGCACATGAAAGTATTAATACTAATACTGCAAATCAATTAATCACACAAATTACAA